CAGATATAGAACGAAAACATTATAATAGAGAAGTTTGTTATTTTGTGTTAAATTCTAAAAAATAAAGCTGCTATATACGATTTTATAAATAGTTTTGTTTAATGATTTTCTTCAACATAAAGTCGTCAGTCCTAAAACTGCTTGGACACGCATATCCAGTCTTTCCTATCCTGAGCTAGTCTTCGAATTTCCATAAAATTAGAACATCCCGCATCATTAACTATTTGCGAACACTTAATTTTATCTAGGTCTATCTCACACATTTTTTTACAATGAATTAAAACTGTTACTGAAAATAAATTTGACTTTTTTATTTAAAAAATTTTTCATATGTAATGAACTTCGTTAAAATTGACGACGAAGTACTAATAGGTATATGGAAGAAGATAATAATTTGATTTTTTTGTCGATTAAACCGTTTATTCGTACCAATAGTGACCTGTAGAGAATCCGGATAACTATTGCTCCTTAATCAGTATTTTAATTGATCGGTTTATAATATTATTATTTTACGTTTTACGAACAAAGGATTGATAATTTACTATTAATTGATAGAATTATGTAATTAGACATCAGTTTGTCCCATTAATTTGTAATTTTACAAAATAAGCAGTTACACACTAAACATGTGAAAATATATGGCATTAACACGCTTTTACATTCTAATTACTCTGTAAAAACTAACGGTACCTAATCATTTCTTTAATTAATACCTATTACACTTTTTTTATCTGCTGGTACCTACCTGTGTTGGTATCCTTTTTAATTAACAAATTTGAAATGGAAAATAGTGATAGAAATTTTATCATAATAAACGTTATAGGTACCTAGCAATGGTACAATATTAAGAGTGTACTTTTTTCTGATTGAAATATGTACTCAGTATACTATGTGCAAAATACTTTACAGTGGAATAATCTGGAAGCGGTGAAGTTTCTATATTATGGGTAAATAATTAGTGATTTACTAATTGAGGTTATGGTTGTGGAATTTCTGTGAAGAAATTGTGGTATGCAAGGGAAAGAGAGAGTATAACGATAGTAGGTGAAAAATTAGAAAATACGCTGATTTTCAGTATCTAAGAAGTCAGATAACTCAGGACGGAAGGAGTAGAGATACGAAACATGAGGATTGCGCAAGGTAAAGTCTCCTTGAACAAAAAAAAATCACTTCTGTGCTCGCCAACAGTTAATTTAGAAATTCGAAAAAGATTGTTAAAGGGTATGTCTGTATTATTGTCAAACATGTACTTTCGAAATGTGGTGAATGATCAGGATGCCATGGATAGAGGTTAGAAATGAGGTGTTAGAACGGAGGGTTAGGTTGGCAGGACACCTTAGACATGAAGGGCTAGTCAGAGACATATTAGAAGCAGAAACAGGAGTTAGGGAGGAGTAGAGGTAGACCTAGGTTAGATTACTGTTCACAAATAATTGAGGATATTGGATGTTTCAATTTTAGAGAAGTGCAAAGAGTAGCTCAGGATAGCAAGGAGTGGAGGTGCGTGTCCAGCCAGTCTTAGGACACTATTTTACAAATAATTTAACCCGACGGTCTCGTCTATCTATCTATCTATCTATCTGTCTGTCTGTCAATTTTCTCGGATAGGTCCCTATTTTATGAAGAAGTAACGCCGTTCGACGAGAGCTAAATAAATGTTTACCAGAGGGATTCAGTGTTTGCCATCCGCTCTTCAACACTCGTGAACTTCATAAATACACAATGCATTGCATGTGAATGTATCTGTAGGGATATTACTTCGATATACACTAGTGGCGTAATGAAAACCGAACATAGGTATATTCTATCTACCACGTACCTATCATACGATCATCAAAAGCGACGACATCATCATTTGAAAAATGCCACGTGGTATGGAAAAATTCATATAAATACCTACCGTTAGTTATCTTTTCATATGTAACCTCATTTTTGAGAGTTATTGTGTTTTGTTCAGAAGATTTCGAGATTCGGTTTAGTCTAGTTTAGAACAGTTATCAGAAACGATGAGATTTTTCAGATAGACGTGGCTGAAAAAATACATTCCACACAAAAAAAAATGGCAACAAAGAAACGTGTAACTTATGTTCGGTGAACGTTTTGTTTTGCCTTACTCGTATATAGATAATTATTGTAGATATCGAAGAGTGCGCAGGCTCCATTTACACGTACGTATACGTAACATTAATTACTACATTGGAACAGGAATATTGCGACGGTAAATGCGCCGATCGTCTCTAATTATATCGATTCCATTTAAGCGATAATCACGGATATGCATTATGAGAATTGATCACCAATAATGGCTCTGTCGTTTTGAGGGTGAATTATGCGTTTACTAAAATAACAAAAACGATTTTGCGCTACCAAGGTATCTTTAGTTATTTAATATAATAATGATGATGTGTCCTTTTCGGATTAGTTCACCAGCCGATAGCATTTAAAACCGTCATAGGTACTTAAATTTTCGATAAATATTTTATCCATCTCTACGTCTTTTGTTTCGATAAATTAGTAAAGGCCAATTGGTGAACTGATGTTGTTCTGATTCGGGTCTAAAGGTCATCGTCGGTTGGTCCTTCTTCACAGGTCCTTCCATCTCCGATGCTTGATGTGGTTCGAAGATGGAAGGACCTGTGAAGAGGATTGTCACTCGTGCTAACGAAACGTTAGAAACAAAGTCCAACCGGCGATGGCTTTTAAACCCGAATCAGAAGAGTATCAGTTCTTTTGTTTCGGTCAGTTTAAAAATTATTGTTTCTTATTTTATCAGGTAGGTAGGGGGACTTGGGAATCAAATAAAACTGAAAATACGTCTTAAAAAAATAAATCCGATGTTTTTACTACTTTCCTTACAATATATTTAACTTTGACATACTACAGGAGTAATAATTTAATTGGGTATTATTAGTCGTTTTGTCTTTTTATTTTACCCTTTTCCAGAGTTTCTTATATTACTTAAAAGCAACTATTCCATCCGTCAGTAAAGTGGGAAAAATAAGAAGTGGTTGTAACTCACAAACCCAAAATAGTAACATAATAACTTTAATGAAAATAATGGAATGCAGTACTTGTAAGACTTATTGGATAAAGCCTACAATTTAAATTTGAAACAGCTGTTTTCGCTATTACCTACTAGGTTTATACCTACTCGTATCACGAAATACATACATACATATGTATCTTCATTCTGACAAAAAATACCATCGACACGATAGGTAGATCCGCATGAAACAGATACATACATTTTCAAAATAAACCCCCTAATATATGAAAGCATAATGCAAAACAGTATCGTCTAAAACAATTGCTTAATTTTAAATTTATCAATAAACCGAAAAATTCAACTCGTGTTGTTCATCATATGGTATGCTCAGTGAGTCTAACAGAACTAAATAAGATTCTATATTTTGTGGATTAATTAAATCTATGGTTTTCTGGGTAACATAGGCTTCGTACGTGAATACAGAGCACATTTCTGGTAATTTATAGTAATTTTGTTTTTCATCTAGTATCATTACACATACTTGCTCCCTCCTCGGTCTTGGAGCCATCAGTAATGATCTATTTTATTTGTTTGTCATCATCATAAGGTCGTCAGTCCTAAGACTGGTTGGACACGTACCTCCACTCTTTCCTATCCTGAGCTAATCTTCGCATTTCCCTAAAACTAGAACAACCCACATCCTTAACTAATTGGGTGTTGTTAATGAGGCTTTAAAATTTCTGTCATATCTCATTTAATTTTTTCAATTTCTCACTTAATCTTTTCAATGTAAGTTTTTGTTGGACTACACCTATGAAGGTATCTCCTTCTTAAAAATTCCATTAAAAAAGTAAATGCAGGAATGTTTTACATAAAACAACAGCAACTCGCATATCTTATAGGTATCTACAGGTATTACATATTCAAATTTGTACTGCTGATTTATTATATGCAGGACTGCATTATCTACAGAGCATTAATCAATTGAACATTAATTATTTATCCTCACAATCAGTCACTTGTAACTAATTTTAATTAGGTACCTATTAATAAACATAAATGCTCAACGATTAATTTTTTATTTTGATTGGGCATTATCTTAAAAATTTTAGGAATGAATTATGTACTGTAATGAATAATAGCCCCCTGTCGATGTGAGCATGTCACGATTTGTTTTATTGCAAATCCTTTAACAATTTACTATACCACAATGAATTTAAAATACTTATTAAATCATAAACTATATTAGTAAATATATTATACCAATGTAAATACTAATTTTCTATCTAAACCCTTACCAAATAAATGGAATATAGAATTAATTAAAAACAGCTTCACCTAATATTAATGGGCTATGGACTCAGGTTGCCCTACATGTGCTTAAACTTAAGTGTACCTAACCCTTCTACCCACGTCGTCGTCTCATTACAACATTTATATGTAGATTTATTATTTCCATTTTCAATGAGAAACCTCATCCATCCGGTTTTATATTCATCTTTCCATTGAAAAGATTGACTTCAGGTAGTCAGGTACCTACCAACCTATCAACGTATTGACCCTTGGGTAGGTATGAAGTCTATTCGCTGAATGCACAAAATCCTTTACCTCTTACTGAGATAATCTTTGTAAATCTGACCCATCATTCATCTTCATGGAAATATCTGTCCATTCATTAAATAGAGTATTTACCACTCTTTAAAAATTTAACTAAGAGAATTACAAAGCAATGTTTTTTGAATCATATGGAAGTGTTCAATTACCGAGTAGTAGATATAACCCTGCTGGTTAATGAAAATGTGCATGGAACGAAAAAGCTTTGCTTAAGAGTACCTACTGCTCGACAACGACTGGGAACAAATACCTACATATATCTTTAGCGGGCGAGTAAGAGCAAAATGTACAGTAAAGGGGTAATGTGAGTGCGTGGTGTTTTTGCTTCTTGAAATGGAGATGTACAATGCTCGCACCAAAGTTAGAGGCGCTTAGGGGTTACTATTATTAACTGACATACCTGAGATGCCGACGGATAAGAGTAACCAAACTGTGCATAAGCTGCCATTTCATATAAACCGATTAAAAAATAAAAAGTTTCACTAGTCACTCACTCACGCATAGAGTAATGGGCAAAAATCCTCGGTCCGCACTATGTCACAAACGTGTCCGGGGGTGTTAGCGAACCCTTCGCACAGCACCATGAATGAAAAAGAAAGTCAATACAACAATACGAACTTTACTCTAAAGCGAATTCAGAATGACTGGAGTTACTGATGGCCAGGAGAAAACAACACAAAACGCAACACCCTCACGGGGGTGGAGTGACAACTCTAAACCAACAAGTACATGGAAAAGGCGGTCTTATATAAGAATAAAGAACATTTATTGGATCCCCACCACTTTAATGCCCGCCTTAAACTGTTTGAAACGCCTTTTTTGAGGGGAAAGGGGAGTTAACATGTGACGATCATGTTTATGGGGACTAGCAGATCTCTACAAATCCCACCTCGCTGAACAAAAACACTAACCGAATTTATTGGATACAAGGTGTTTGACTCGATGAATTGCTGGCATCATTTGTATTCTGTTTCGTACGAATGATGTTTTGCTTTTTACATGGAAACCCACTTTACACCTCGAGTAGTTTGGATCTTTTTGTCACCAGTTGTGTGTTTGCTCGTAACTGTAAAGATATGAGTGCATATTCTCAGATATGTTTATTAAATGGACATGGTATAAAGCTGAGCGACGCGATAAAAGCGACACGTACATCACTTTACTCTTGTTTTGATCTCAATTCGGTTGTTTTTAGTTAAAAAGCATGTTGGAAATGCTCCTGAACACGACTCATAAATTAACTTTATCGTTACACTTTTATTCTGAAACATACCAATTATTTACTGATGCAATGTACAAATACTTTGGCACCTAAACTAAGAAAATGTAAACGTCAACTAACTCATAATTACCTGCTTACGAATATTAAACATATATTTCATACTTCCAATCAAAGCAATTAACAATTAACTTTTGAATTATAAAAATATTTAGTAGCATTATTATGATGCAAGTATTTCTAACATCCTATAATTGAATTTCCTGCAGAAACATTAATGCTTAATAATATGCCACTCTTATTTTACAAGTGTTTGAGTTACATTCGTTCGCAAAAAATGCATCAGAGGAGGTGCAGCTATGCGTATATGAGGCGTGACCATTCATATTTTTTACCCCGCCGCACATGCATGTACGTTTATTTCCCTTCATAAGAGGGGATTCAACACTCGGATCCCCTCCTGCTTTTCAGGGGTTCAATGAATGTTTCTCTACAACTACAACCGAATTTACAGGAATTTAGCGTAATTTTATGATCATGAAAGAGTAATAAGATTTTTGAATGCAAACATTTGCTATTCATTGAAGTATCTCATTAAAAAGGACCTAACATATAACATAAAATTTCTATCCAAAAATCTAAAAATAAAATCAATTAGGTTACGGACCGGACCTTATCCTTTCAGTAAAAATGTGGCGGTGCAGGGTGTAGGTGTAGGTATAAATATAAGGTGTATATTTATGTCCTGTTTTCTGCCCCTTTCCGCGTACTTGTATATGTGTAGTAACACCACATCCCCGCGTACCTGCTATTTTCAAAGTCTTAAATACTTTTTCAATCAGTAAAATGGGGCACATATTAGAGGTGAATTATACCTACTCCTGCTGTAAACTAGAAAAATTTAATGAGTTACATCCTTTCGTTAAAAAAATGCATGCGGGGAGGTGCAAATATGCGTATATGAGGCGTGTCCATTCTCAATTTTTTACCCCGCCGCCTTGGTATGCACGTTTAAGTCCCTTAACAAGAGGGGATTTAACACTCGCTTCCTCTCCTACTTTTCAGGGGTATAATGAATGCTCTTAGAACTACAACCGAATTTACACGAATTCAGCTTAACTTTATGATTATTGAAAGTGTCGATTCAAGGAAAATTTTCGCAGAAATAAGGGTAAAAATGTTTATTATCACTTCTAGCTTCCATGACAAAAATAATTTATTTCCCTTTTATGATAATTTTGATTTAATACTCAATCACTAGAAAAATTCAATGAGTTAACAAAATGCATGTGGGGAGGTGCAAATATGCGTATATGAGGCGTGTCCATTATTGGTTTTTTACCCCGCCGCCCAGGTACGCACATTTAAGTCCCTTAATAAGAGGGGATTTAACACTCGCTTCCTCTCCTACTTTTCAGGGGTTTAGTGAACGCTCTTACTACAACAGAATTTACACAAATTTGACGTAATTTTATGAATAGAAAAATTAAATGAGTTACCTCCTTTCGTTGAAAAATGTAGGGAAGTGCAAGTAGGTAGGTTCTGTATGAAGGTGTTGCTGTTTTATGCTATTTAACCCTACTCATACATATTAGATAGAAATATATATTTAACTCCCTTATAAGAAAGGATTGAAGATCCACGTCCCTTCTGCTTTTGTTAAAGATTTTAAAGTTTTAACAACTACAATACACATTACACAATAATTCGTGTGCTGCGGTTAGGACGCATGTTTCAACAACAACAGTCTATTAAATAATTAAATTAAATATTTTAATATTATCAATTTATTTGGTAGAATTATTCGAAACATTACAATTATAGTTTATGCCGAAACTGAAAACATCTACATTTATATCCAAAAGAACAAATATCTATTTTTAACAAACCAATGGGGTAATAAAAAATGAATTTTATCAATCCTCGTCTTTTAATGACGAGGAATATTTTTTTTGAGAGGTAGACATGCCTAGATTGGTGTTATCTCTTGTTAAAAATTACTTTTGTTGAGCCTTGGTGCTACCGTTTTTTCAAAAGAATTAAAATATAGTAATTTACCTGTTTATAATCTTATTTTAATTTTATCATTATTTTAGAAATTGTAATGTAAAATAATACTGTACAAATGTGTACAAATTATCTAAAGAAATTATTTTGTACTTTTTTGTATGACATGACATAAGTAAGTGCATATGCAAGTAGATACACTTTATCAATTAATTGACACTAATTTGTTAAGGTAATTATTTGCGTATTTGTTAATGAACAGTAATTATTTAGCGTTTACGAATTATGGTTTTATAACTACACTCGTGTATCTATAATAAGTTTTAAGTCGTCTCGCAATATGCGAACACCAAATGCGTGCAATTACATACTTCACTTGTGTGATGATTATCCGTTTATCGTAAAATTTAGCTAATAATACCTAAACGTTATCGTACTGATAATGTCGATTAGTCTGTAATGGCAGGAAAAAAAAACATTTTCGGAAATTCTTAGTTAAATGTTGATATGGTTTGTTGGTTTTAGTATGTACCTGCTGTACTATCAACACTGGAATAATTAACTATAACAACTCAAAAAGTATTTATCTCCAAAAACTGACTGTTTCTTTTTTTAAAGAATTATTCATGGTGAAACAATGTAGCAATTGAGGTTTATAAAAAATACTTTTTTTGTTAATTTCAGTACATATCCTATCCATAGGATATCTCCTAGCTATTCGCCTATGTATTATGAACATTTGCCACTAGTGTATACTTTGTCACAATTTGAACTTTGCTCGGAAAAATTACCAACGTAATATATTACAGTCACTAATTATTGTCAATTAAACACTTAATTAATTTTTGTTTAACATGTGTGTAATTGAAATCAGTTATTATATTTCTAAATTCCGAAAATCATTAGCACTACGGGTCTACGTATAAATCAGTTGTTAAAGTGTATTGTAAATTACGCTTTTAATAACTTATGTAATAATTATTATTTTTCGCGTTATATTATTTAATTTATGGTATCTATAAATGTTATAATTTCGTGTTTAGTACGAGCGTTTTCTACTTTGTTACGAACGGTCTGATTTTCGTACATACATATACCGTAGCTACTCCTGTGGAAAGCAAAAGAAAAAGCTCATCTAATATAGATTATCGCATCGAAAATTGCCGAGAATTAAAAAATCGTTTTTTGGAAATTAATATGCATTAACGTAATAGAAGATATTCCATACAATAAATAAAAAGCAATTGTAATGGATAAAAAAAATCAGATTTGTTTCCGTTCGCATATACAACAGCTATGTATAAGTATATCCAAAATATCCAAAAATACAAGAGATAGTTACAATAAAAAGCCAATGAACTACTTAATTATTTATAAATATTCACTGGGACCCTAATTAGGAACCAAATACTGATTTTCTATGGTTAACATCTGAATTATATTATATTTTTAAACCGGCGGTAGCAAATCTGTCTGATTTTTTTTCTTTCGAAAGGTTTTTATTTTGAACGTTATCTACAAAGATAATGCCTAGTTCCCTCCCATATACCTGTTTTTAATTAGGGTTAAAATTTTCGGTATGTCGAATTCCCTCCTAATTATGCATCAATTGCCCCTCAACGGCTAAAACTAATAAAGTTTTTCTAGATGATTGCATCAAAAAGCTAGACGCACACGAATTTCCAAACATTGAATTTGTTAAGGTAGTGGAAAACCATTTTAAAATTAAATAAATAAACATTTCATAACTGATACGTTTTTTCTTTCTGAAATTATTTTATCTTTAATTTACTGAAGTACTGAAGTGCACTATGAATATATATTTATTTTCGATAAATAAAATCGGTAAGTAGTCGTTAACTTAATTATCGGAGCTGATATGAACGGGAGGGAACTCGGCTAGTACCCGGGAGGGAATTCGACTATCTAGATTTTAACCAAAACTACCTGCGGGAGGGAATTCGGCATCACCGATCTACAATGTAACCAGTTTCAAAAAAGGCGCACTCATGGCCGTCTGTGAGTATTTCTAATCACCCTTGCCGTCATTTATCCAACATTACTGTGTATTTCCAACTAGATTATTCGCAGTTAAAATTTCGTGCAATGTATGAGCTAAGTCAAATGAGAAATATTCGACAATTGCATGCAAATTGAATACAACCTATTATTATTGTACGTGTTGTGCATAGTTCCACATAAAACAATGGAAAAATAATTCCCCTAAAATAGTCGTTTACTCATCACGAGATCTATCGTTTCAATTGAAATCCTCCATCAGCCAAACGAAAAAAACTTATCACGTAGCCTGTAATTCTCAACCATTAAGAACACATAGTCGCACACACGCAGTGTAATAATAAAAGAGAGGAATATAATCGACGGCAAACCGTGTCCGAAACAAGTCTTTCGTGCTTTGGACATATTATTTCGACTAACTGCTTACTATTCAACGACAGA